AGGAAAGCTGAAGTAAAATCATAAACACAGTTGTGGTTTCACTTAGTGACTACTTCGCTTAGTGACCAAGTTGCTGGTCCCAATTGTGGTTGCTAAACAAGGACTACCTGTACATACGATTTAAATACATAAAAAAGCAGATTAAAATCAACATAGAACTTATATATGAAAAACATTTAAATTACTAAATATGATTCAAAGCCAGGCTGAAAAGCTGGACTTTTAAGAATTTCTTAAGGGTTCTAAAGAAGATAAGACTCCTGAGACCTACTGAGAACATGTTCCACAACCTAGGAGCAAGGACTGGCCCATGTTACAACAGACAAGCTGGGGGAGCCCGAAGATGGACTCTCCTGACAATCTCAGTGAGCACTGGGGATACTGCATAAAAAGGCATGCTCTCAGGTACTTAGGCCTGGGTTACCTGAATGCATGCCTTTCTTTGCAATATCCCCATTTAGCACTTTAAAGGCAAATATTCAGTTTTGTATTTTAGTAGGAAACCTATGAGCAGTCACTGCAACCGAATAAGAATAAATATTGTTCTTTTCAAGTAGCCCTGGAGACCTAATCAGGCTGCCACATTTTGAACTAATTGAAGTTTCTGAACTATATACAAAGCCGCTATTATATTCAACACATTACAGCAATCCAGTCTCAAAGTTACCAGCTGATGCATTATTGTTTGCACCAATATTTTCCTTTGTGGGATCATTCCTTCCAGTGTCCAGCTTCTCAAACTTATGCCACCATGTGTCTTGGGCCCTCCACGCTCTTTATTTAGCAAATGATAAATTCTCATCTCATTCCCATCTCTATTACAGCTACTGGTGATCTGTATAGAGAGGTACACTAGCTAAGCATTATTTTCCTATAAAATAAAACGTGTATTGATTCATCTTGAATAGTCCTGAAATCTATTTTCCCATCTGAAGAAACTATTTTACCCTATTTACTGGAGTACAGTATATGATCTACTCTGTATGTATCAAACTGCTGGGAAAGACCCCTATGGTTCCAAAGTTTGGATATATGTACACACCCGCAAGATTATCTGCATGCATAAATGCAGCAGCCACAAAGATATGGACATTTTTTCAGGTCTGAGTGATCTGCAGAATTATACTTCCACTTTAGTCTAGCTATAAAGGAAGCTTTCCCACAGAGCTAAGCCCTCCAGGTAAACACTACAGCTTCACACTAACCTTCACGGACATTCTCTTCACTCTGCCCAACATACATGCTAATAAGTTCAGGACCCTTTACACTGAAATGAAAAAATACAGGGTTAGTTATTCCAATATTTCAATCTCCAAATTTTCCTGACCCCTTGTATCACAATACCCACCTGAGGAAAGTCATGGTGCACTCTGTTGCTACTGCTTTAGCTAGCAATGTCTTCCCTGTTCCAGGAGGACCATAGAGCAGAAGGCCAGAGCGGTGAAGGCCTAAAGACAGTAGCTCTGGGTGTTCTACTGGAAGCTGAATGGTGTCCAGGATCTCCTTTTTTACATTCTGAAGCCCTCCAATATCTTGCCAGAAGACTGAGGGAATCTGCAGGAGATAGTAGTCTTAAAACTTGCTAATGCTATTACCCTATTCAATATACCCAAACCAACAATTATCAAACATGCCTTCAAAAACTGGAAGACACTATTTTTATTTCTACTGAACCACAGCTATTGCACACTACCCTAATCTCTGCCTCTGAAAGATCCCTCAAGGTCCCTGAAGGGTGGTGTTCACATGAAATCTTTCATACTGTGTCTTTTATGTCCTATTCATTATTTTTACAGCACTCTTCTCATATCTATACTTTATGCCTTAAGATAAAAAAATAAAGCAAATTTTAACAAAAAGTGCCTGAAAATTTATAGGTAGGGGTTGATTTATTTTATCCTACATTTTATAGCAAATTGCCTATTCTTCCTGTAGTTATACACTTTGTTTTGTTTTTAAAATTTATGATTGGCTATTGTATTGATTAAGTTGCTCTTTATAGCTCTTTGCAACTATAACTCTGAAATTTCATAAAATACATTACTGAGAGCCCAGAGCACTATAGTTTCTCTTTATTTTAAGATCTACTCTATTTATTAGAGTTATTCATCAAAACAGGGTGGAATGAAAACTTTGGTATGTTCCTGAGCCTTGTACTTATTAAGAGTCATACCTTTGGGGCTCCTACTGCCTGTGAATGAGCATCATGGAGTTTATCTAGTGCAACACTGAAATCTTCTGCTAGAAGAGGGAAACCAGCAGCATAAAAATCATATTCTTCCTCCTCATTTGGTCCTCCTGGGAAGCTGGTGAAGAAGGAACAGAAAATATCAGACTGCCAGTGAAGTGGCTGGACACACACACACACATTCAGCAGGAGACAAATTTTAAAGCAACTAGATGATTCTTCCTAAAGATGTGGCTACTTCGTATTTGAGAAGAGATGCTTTGCTGGCATTTACACTTTTTTGGAGTGCCCCTTCCAAATGCTCAGTAGTATGTGAGCAGATATAGAGAAGAAGGAGATCTTCCCAAACTGAACAATTGCATTAATGCAGTAGCAGATCTAGGAACTATGGCTGCAAATAGGGACAAGAAACTGCAACAAGAAGAAAGTGGAAGTTTATTTACATGCTTTGAAAGGTAGCATGCTTTTACCCACAAATATGCATTCTGTATAATGCTATCAAAGTTTGCCCAGTAAGATGTTAATGATAAAACTTGACATAAACAGGAAATCAAATCTCTCCCTACTGCTGCAAATAGCTTGAAAACTGATCTCATTCTATCAACACTTAGTTTAAATGTCACATTCCAATGTGTCAAACAAGAAAGGTTTACACCTGCAGTTACCATCTAAATTCTCACAAACCAGAAAATATTTATTCCAGTACCTTGAATTCTGTATCCTTGTACAGGCAGCGCGGCTGCTGTGGGAAAGTAAAGCACAGAAATCTCCTAGCACAAAGCCCTGAAAACATGGAATAAAATATTGGTGCAGCAAGTCCCATAACAGACAGACAAAGAATTCTGAAAGGAATGGGTGAAAAGATTTCATTTTCTACATAGAAAAAATAGTCTGTATGAATTGCTGTGTGAAAGCCAAAGCAAATAAAATCCTTCTCTCTCCATTTCCTTAACACATTATGTGAGCATATCAATGAAGTGACAGAGGTAATGCTTATACTGTATTGTTTGAGAATAGTTTTAAAAGAAGTAGTAAACAATACGTCATTATATGTGTCATTATTTCCCAACCAACAAGGTCAAAAGGTAAAATTCTGAAAGTTAAAATCCACACATCTGGAATGCACTCTTCATTGCTGCTTTCTTCATCATTCTTTTATGGAGAACCACTTTTATGCAAATTTTTACAATTATGGATTCAGTTTATACATTTATTTACAATCATTTGCAAGTGATAGTTCTAGGAATTTATAACAAAAACAGTAAAACAGAAAATATAAAAAATAGACAGAAAAACAGTTAAAAGCATCACATATTATAACCATAAATATATTATAATGTGTGATGATTATAATAAAACTATTTAAAAAACTGTTGCTATCAATGGACTGATTGTGCTATCTGAACACTGCCCTGAAAACTATCTTCACCATTTTACAGAAAGGTGTCAGAGTAAGGACACATCTGGCCTTAAGGGGCAAGCTGTTCCAGAGGGAGGGGACTGCTACTGAGAATGTCATCCTCTGGGTCCTAACCCCCAATCTTTTTTGGGGTGGATGCTCAGAGGCCTCCTTCCCTGCTAAGTTGTGTAGGGCAGGCAGATTCTACATGAAAAAGATGGTCCTAAGGAGTTACAATAACCAAGCCATCCTATGGCATTTTGAGATCTCAAATCTAGATCCCCCCTATTTCTTTGTCTCTTCTGGCTTACTGCATTCACAGACACTCACCGCACTCTGCTGGGCTAGCTTGGTCAGGCTTACTTCTTTCCCCAGTGGAAAATTCTGCGTTAGCATGCTAATAATGGCCTTCCTCTGCTCTTCAGTTGGTGCTTCAATTTTCATCTCATGAAGAAATGCTGTTTGCACATCTGAAGGGACATCTGCAAGCTTGGTTGTTGTGCCTACCACCAGCACAGGATAACTGTTAAGAAACATACAGATCTGCTGTAAACATTTCATAGCTATAGTCAAGAGATAGGAAAGAAACACCTTGGACTAAAGTACTTTATCCCAGTCATTTGCATGATCTGTGGCATCATTTCTGTATTTATTAAAGACCACTATTTTAATCCAAATCAAATTCCAAATCAAATCAGACTTTTTTGGTCAGATTCAGACCAAATTCAGACAGGAATCAGACTTCTCCAAGAAATCTGAATCACAACCTTCCTGAAGCCTCATTAGGGATGCCAAATTCAAAAACTCTATAGACTATATTCTGCAAAAATGTATACATTTCTCTTGAATGTTCCATATAAGGGCAACTCCAAGATAGGGAATGGGAGATAGTAAGTGTGTAATTTGTTGCTCAATTCAATCCATCACTGTCCTATTACATTTTCTGTTATTTTGATGCCATCTGAGAAAAACACAATCCACCTGTTTTTCATTCATCATATCTCCAGAATCTCTAGCTCAGAATTCCTTCTGAAATTTTACAGATTTCTTACCTAGGAATACAAGAGTGCAATGCATCATTTTCCTATAAACAATTCACAAAAACATAAATTCTTTTTTTGTTCTTAAAATTTCCAAACTGGAAAAGCTGGTTTTGCACAAGATCCTCTGAAGGTATAAAATTTGGCAGGCACAGTACTATTTTAATTATTGAGCCTGCACATTCCATCCAATTTCCAGTAAAGGAAATTATCAAGAATTTTTTTTTTTTAAATTAAAGTTATAAAGGCACCAGGCCCAAAATACCACCACTTTCTTGCTTGAATTTTGCTATTTTCTCAAGATGGACTATTGTTCCTGAATAGTTATCCAATTTTATCACATTGAAAAAAAAAATCCAGCCAGAGAGATTTGGATTTGGCCTTGGGTTGATCAGGGAGCCTTCAAATCAGTATGAGAAAAGGAAGATCACTTTCCAACTTATGGAAACAAGGTTAATCTTGTGATCTTTGTATATTCTTGGTTATTAGTAAGCTGCTGTGTTTTCTTCAGCATAAATGAAGGGTATTCATAAACTTCACTAAAACTGCCACAAGTTCTAACAGACTTTGTTTAGCATCTCTTAGGGCTGATTAGAAGGGAGAGAAATAGGCTGGTAATTCTATTATCCAGTTGCCCATAACACACACAGCTTTCTACTAGGATTTCTGAAATATATGAAAGCAATCATGAAACTCCCACATATTGGATTTATGTGCACTCTTGTTTACCATTCACAAAAAATGAATTATAGTAATGCCACCTCTCTTTTAGTTTTATTCTCATGTTTACTGCATTACTAAAATTATTGTTAAAAGACTCTAGAATTTTAAGAGTTAAAGTTATTAGCTAAATTAGAGGGCTGCTCTCTTGTAAAAATCTGAGTTTTCATCAATACCCTAAACAGTAAAATTCTTCTCAGTAGAACCATAATGATGGGAATCTTCCGGAGATGTAATAGTATATACCTAGTATCTGTCTCTCTTTCCAAGAGAAGGTGCCTTAGTGCAAGAATGACCCTGGAGTCCTCCCCCAATCCATCACGTTCTCTTCCCAGCAGCTCTACATCTTTCATCAGCAGGACACAAGGACTATAGAGCTCAGCTTGTGAGAAGGCGCTGTGTAGTTTTACTTCTGTAGATCCACTTGTATCACCACACAAAGCAACACAACCCACCTAGCAGGAAGTCAGAGAGCAGAGATGAAGGAGACAGCCATGTAAAAGTGAAGATAAAACTTCAACAGTGGAACAGTTACTATGAGTATAAAACATTTGGACAATGAGATAATTCTACTGAGTAAAATTAATTATTTGCAAAATAAGGCATCTCATTTATAAAATTAACTGGTTGTCCATTTGGCTATGCAAAACATTTCAATTATAACCATTTCAAGCATTAAACTTCACAAACCTTCCCATCTCATGGCAGACTGCTATTTCAAGCATTTTGGAAATGTTTGGAGCTTGAAACAGAGCTGCTTTGAGCTTGGGGCACTTCCAAGATGCTCAGAATAGTAGTTTCACATTCAAAAATGAAAAATCCAGAAACGTTTGCAAAGTTTTGCATTCAAAACAGTTTTGCACATCTCTGGCATATAACAATCATTCTCTCTCATACACAAACTACTCTCACAAACACAAGTACAGAAGTACGCACACATCCTTGTTTCCAGCAAAAAAAGAAGAAAGAATCAGGGTGTAGATGTGGGAAAGGGAAAGGATAGCTGAACTGGATGAAGGAGAAAGAGGGGAAGAAAACTGGGTGCCAAGGAGAAGAGTTAACAGAGAGGGAATGGAAAGAAGGAAAAACCCTGGCAGGGCATTATAAAGAAAGGTAAAATTTTGCATGCAAGCAGTGACAAGCAATAAAGTTGAAAGATAAAACCTCCTGCTTGCATATAATATAAACAAAAGAAGTCCAGGAAAGCGTTAGGCTGGACAGAGTTTGTGTGACTAGGAAACTTTGAATTTGCAAAAAAATTACCTTTACCTAATCTCATTTTTGCCTTGGCATGATTTTATTAGGGTAAAAGATGAAAAACTTATTATGATCTACCTAAATCCAAAAGAAACAAAAGAAAAACCAAAAGAGCCTTCATCTAGAATCTCCAACCTATTATTCCAATTTTCCATTCTTAACTGAGACATGACAGCTAGTTTTCTTTTTATACTGTACACTATCACCATCTCTTGAAGTAAACTGATGGAGAAAAACAAAGGGTTTCTGTTTTTTAACAGGTATGAGAAGAGATTTCTAGCAGTGGCAAGCTATGATATATGGGAAAGAAATGTGGTACCAATTGAAATCTTATTTTTGCATAACCACTAAAGGAAATAACAGCCCTAACTCTTCCCTTCCATTTCTCTATATTCTTACAAAAAAATAAGCATGAATAAGAACAAAAATAGCATGCTTGCCTACTGCGAGGGAATCTACCAACTAAAAAAAATCAGTATTATAAAAGATCCTAAGGTAACTTTTAATTCTGAGGCTTCATAACAGTGAATGCAGTGTTTATCAGTATAAAACCAGGATTTTAAAAAAATGGGATACTTGACAATAAAGCTTCCCTAAAAAGGAAAAAGAAAAAGACACACTTGGAAACAGCACAGACAGCATTACATTACAGCATCATCAATTGGAGGAGAAATGTATCTTGATCCAAAGGATGCGAAGGAGGCCCCAAGAGCCCAGAATTGTTTGTTTGTGGTTTTTTGGTTAAGGGCATTCCAGACATGAAAGCTTTTGAAGAGAAAGTAAAAATGGCCTCAGTGGCTTCTCCCAGCTATGATTCTGTAAGAAAAGGAAATTCCTTTAAAAATGTCCCATTCTTTTGCAGCTGTTTGCACCACCTGCACCATTTTCCTTCTGAAAAGAAGCTGATATAGCAAGAGGCAAAAGACAAATGCAATTAGCACTTAACTGAAAGGTTCTGCTAGAGCAGAGGTCAGGAGTGTTCAGTCCTCTAGATCAGTGTTCCTCAACCTTGGGAACTTTAAGAGGTGTGGACTTCAATTCCCAGAATACCCCAGCCAGCATGGGAGTTGAAGTCCACACCTCTTAAAGTTCCCAAGGTTGAGGAACACTGATCTAGATGTTGACAAACTATAACTTCTAGTAGTCTCAGTTAGAATGGTCATTGGTGAGAGAAGTTGGAAACTATAGTCCAGCAACATCTGAAAGATACCCTGCAAGAGCAAGGTGAAGAAAAAGAGTGTTCAACCTCAGAGAGACTCTGTAAAGAAATCACTCTGCTTTACCATGCTCGTGGATTGAAAAGCACATTTCTGTTTGAAGATACCAGAATGTTCTTTCGGGGCCTTATTCTGAACATATTTAAGATTCTAAAACTACCTTGAAGAAATGAAGATTGAGGCGGCTACAGGCAGCTCTGACAGCTGTCATTTTCCCTACACCACTGGGTCCTGAAAGAAGAATGCTTCCAGATCCATTTAGCAGTGTTTCCCTGAAACATAGAAAATAATAATTTCTTTAACACATTTTGCACACAAATCCCCCCCCCCCAAAAAAGGAAGGGGAAGAGGGAGACTGCAAGAACACACAATGGAGGAGCTCTAAGAGGTTAATGAGAAATTTAATTCATCTTAAAGGAAAGAATCTGGAAAACACCAGCTCTTTTCTCACCATGTTACATGCAAGGAAGCAATGGCAAGAAGTTTGATATTTTCACATCACTTCCTATATCCTAACACTCCATTTAGGGTTATGATTTATAAAAGGCACACCTAAGCACTTTGCATAAATGGCACTGAAAGAACCTATTGCTTCATAGAGGCTAAAATAAAGCTTAGAAATGCAGAATCCTCAAACATTTGTCCTCCAGCATCCTTTAGCATACCAGTTGAAGGCTGGAACCTCCTTCTGTGTTCAGAGATCTTTTGGAAGACTTTCCTTACTTTTCCATGTCTGTTCAATCTTTAATGTTTTTACAGATGTTCTTGTAATACTGCTTATTTTCTAACAGCTCTCTGAAATTCTTTGTTAAAGTGCTTCCTGAAATCCTTGTCTTTCTTGACTTTAGCTTCTCTTTTCTTCTTGGCAATTTCCACAATTCGCTCTGACATCCAGTTTGCTTTCTTCTGTTTCTTGACAGAATACTGTCTTGGTCTTTGACAATACTTTTTCACATTCATCCTTAAAATTTTTAAAATTTCATTCCACAGTTCCTTAGGTTCCCAATCAACGAGGTTCAAGACTTCAAAGCAATTCCTGATGTTCTCTTTGAAAACGGTGAGTATAAGGTCAAGATTGGATTGCAGAAACTGGTTGGCTTTCTTTTTTCCCCTTTAGCTTAACTTGGAACTTGCACATGAACAATCTGATCTGTCTCATAGCCAGTCCCTGTGGAGTTATAACACCTTTGCTGATATAGCTACAGGTAGTCCTTGGGTTACAACGGCAATTGGGACTGGAATTGCTGTTGCTAAGCAACGCAGTTGTAAAGTGCAATGTCATATGACTGCATCACTTAGCAACGGCAGTTCCAGCAGTCCCAACTGCTATCGTTAAATGAGGACTCCACAGGTCATTAAGCGAGGACCTCATGTGACCACGACTTCTGACTTCCTGACGGTTTCCCCATTGACTTTGCTTGTGGGAAACCGGCAGGGAATGTCAGAAATCATGATCACATGACCGCCACTCACTGTGATGTTGCAACTGCGAGCCGGGCACCAAGTATCCAGATTGCAATCACATGACCATGGGGATACTGTCACGGCCAGAATTCTGAGGACCAGTCATAAGTCCCCCTTCTTCAGTGCCGTTACAAGCTTGAATGGTTGCTAAACAAGTGGTCGCAACCTGAGGACCACCTGTAAGCTCTTCTACCTCCACGGCAATAATATAGTCAATTTGATTTCTGTGTACTCCATCTGGTGACATCCATGTATATAAGCATTGTTTTGGTTGTTTGAAGACTGTGTTAGCAATGAAGAAATCAATAAATTGGCAGAAACTGATAAGTCATTCTCCTGTTTCATTTTGGTTTTCTAGGCCATACTGTTCAACTACTGTTTTAGGAACAAGCAATTTAGTAGATGGAGGTATAAAATACCAACCCTGATTCCAGAAGAATCCTAAAATGGCTGCCATACTTCTCTGGTCTACAGAAGTGTCATATTTGATGTGCACTGTTGGTGCCTAGAAGCTTGAAAAAGTACCCCACAGTACTTGAAGTAGCTAACCTGTTCTAATGTATTTTGTACCAGTTGTATTTTGGGCCACTATTAGAAAATGCCATTATTTTGGTTTTTTTCTAATAGGTTATAGTTAGCTACTCTTCAACCCAAAATTGACTGAGTACAGTAAGGGCTCTTCTAAGTCTGACTTGGTCAAAAAGAAAATAGCTGCATCATCCACATACAGTAAAATATGGAGATGTTTGTCCACTATTTTGGGAGCATGTAGATCACAGTCTCTCATATATTTGATTTGAGGGTTGATATAAATGCTAAATAAACATGGGGTCGAAATACAACCCTTCTCACACCTTTCACTGATGTTATTGGATCGGTGAGCTGCCCATTGGCAGTATACCACACTCTAACTTTTGTTTTGTTTGTTCATATAGTCTGTAGATTAGTAACAGCAAGTATACCTTGAATGATCCTGCTGGGATTATATACTCTTGGCGTACATTCCTGGCCTTCTTCACTCTCCACCACCATCACAATGAGGCAGCGCAATGGGGGTGGGGGTGGGGAAACGGGACACTACTACATGGTAGAATTCAAATCCCCAGATGACTTACCTATAGTGTAAATGAGGGCCAAGGATGTCACAGAGCTGGTTCACTGCACTGCAAAGCCCAGCAGGAGACAAACTGCTCCAAAAACTACAGCCATTATGAGATGGAAAAGATGGAATAGCACTGTTTGTAGAACCTACCTACAAGATAAGGCAATAATACCAATTTTTTCAACCAGATTCATTAAAGGAGGGAAACTACTTTGTGAACACCTTTGATGTTGACAGCCCTTCTGAATTTTAGCAAAAAGAAAAAAGAAATTGTTCCTAGTTTTGCTAAGAAGAAAAAAAAAGGTGTGTGTGTCAAACTTTGGGAGTAAAAAGATACCCCACTAATAAGCATTACATCTTTCTCAGGTTTTTATATCCAATGTCATAGCCATTGTATGCTCTGAAAATAAGGAACATTTTTTGTTTAGGTCCATATTTCTTGTGGATAATCTAAAGGGAGCCCTATGCTAGTAGTGACACTGCTAAAGCCACTGTGGAGAGGAAGAGATGAAGTGAGTTTTTTATCTAATACTGCCCTTTCTTGTTTCCCTAGTGTGCAAAATCCAGACCCCACTTGCAAGGACTGAACAGTTTCCAAAGAAATGTTAAATTAGGCTAAGAGCCACCCAAAATTAAGCACCACAGTTACTTATTTCTGTTTAGGTCTAATAATAAGAGCCATACATTTAATCATATTCAAAAGCTCTGATGTCAGTACTACAGTGAAATCTTTACTTCATATACTATTAACTTACCAGGAACAAAGTAGTATTCTGAGTATCAGCTAAGTACCCCATACTTTGCTGTATTTCCTCTGCTGGTAATATCTTTTTCACCTTGAAGCAGAGCTCTGGCCATCTAAGGAAAGAGCAAATGAGTTAGAATTTGGAACCAAATACTTTTGTAGTTAGCAAGAAGTATAACTGGAATAATTAACTTTTGTGAGAGGTCAAGTTTCCAATAGCTTTGCAACTCGTCCCAATTGTCATCAAACTTCACTTATTACCACCATTATCATTTTCTGACTTGAAATATCTAATTCCACAGATCACTGTAGTACACCAAAATCCAGGATAACAAGTTTCTAACATCCTAAGTCAACTCTCCCGAGACACTATTTCAAAGCAATCCAAACTAATAGTGTAGTTATTAAGAGTAAGTAGCCCATTTAGCTTTTAACAGACAGTAACATACCTAATAAACTTAGCTGAATTGTCTTCTAAGAACTCAGGATGGCCAACAGTTGGAAGACACAGAATATCCTCCTCTTGTACAAGCCTGCAAAAAATATCTATAATGAAGAATTATACCATTCTGCCTTTTTCTTTCTTTCTTTTTTTTGCATTCCCAGTGAATCTAAGACAGTCCCTTCATTTTAAAGATACATGAGACAAGTCTAGCCTTCTTTTCAGGTAAATACCCAAGAAAAAATAAAATATATTTGATACTGCAGTGGAATAAAAAAAATGTTTCAAATATTTCTATTTCTGTTGAAGAAACAAGATATAGTACAATAACATCTTTAAACAGGTCAATGAATATGTACTTCTCAAATGTGGAATTATCTTTATTAGATTAAGATTTGCTATAGAAAAGTATCATCAATAGGGAAAACTTTTCTGCAGAGTGAAATACTGCTGCCTTTTAAATCACATAATGAAATGAAGTTGTAACAATGTACACAGGAAAAATAGAGGGAAAAGCAAATAGGACCAGCAGTTTATATCCAATTTACAATATAGATCTTTGAAAAGTACAATGTTTTGGAATTAACATTACTGGCTACTGAAAAAGGGAGAAAATTTGAGAAATTACTAGAAGTAATAAAGGAATTTTAGCACATGCATGTACAAACACACAAAACAGAGAAAAGGTTTAATATTAGGGCTGTCTCAGACAAGTCTGTAAAAATTTTTTAATTGACATAACCATGTTACTCCAACTAACGATTTACATTTTATACTTCTTCAGTATTCTTGTTCAATAAATTATGAAGGAAATGAAACCACATTTTTCAAATATGGTACATGTACACCAAGGCCATACCCTGTTCAGTGTGCTTATTAGTAAAAAAATAATAGCAAGATTACCCTTTTATCTCATAAAAAAGGATCAAAGGTCAACTTGTTATCTTTACTAAAAGGCTAACCTGGGAGTTTGAAAGTGCTGGTAAAGAATTTGATCATAGATTCCTCTGGTGTTGTAGGTTGGTGAGGTCACAATCTCTATGTGTAGTTCCTTGGCAACAGGTGGCACAGATAGCAAAGATCGACTTCCTTTTATCTCTTGGACACCAGTAGCTTCCCCATATCTCTATAGAGAACAAATATCCATATTCTGTTTTAATTTTGCTATATATGCTTAAGAGCTAGGAGACTAAAGTAATATTACTTTACAGCAACCTGCAAAATATCAATTCTATTTACATTTAAGCTTTATAATTATTGTAATTATCTACTGCATTTCATTTTTCTAAGTCCTGGCAATTTATGACCCCCTCCTTGCAAAATAAAGGGCTTAACTTCTAAATGGCCCCTTTCAACCCTTCATTTCTAAGTTAATTATACTAACTTAAGATTACACATCTCATGAAATGGACTCTAGTCCATGAAATATGTATTAATTTTTTAGCTTTCAAAATATCACAAGAAAGAAAATTGGTCCTGCTGCAGACAAAATATTGGATTTAAAACTATGGTCATCCAGCAGAACAGAATCTACTGATGAAAGAGATTCCTGTGTCCTCTCCTCCTTTCCCTTCATCCCATAGTTCTCATGTACCTCACCAACATGGTCTGGACACTGAGGGACATGGGGGAAGCAAAGAGGAAAGGAAACTCCAATTTTGTGAGCAGGCTGGCTTCAGGACCTGAATTTATTTATTCTATTTTTGTACCTGCTGCAATCAAGGGAATCTTGGTGGATTATGAACTTAACAATAAAGCATCCACAGTATAAATAATGTTACATAACAATAAGTGTGCATATTTTTTCCAAAAATGCTTTGAAGTGTGCAGAAGTATGAACTCAAGAATAAAACATCTACAGTATAAATAATTTTGCATAATAATAAGTAATACTGAAGCACAGATAACATCATAGAACAATCAATCAAAAGCAATAAAACCTAGAATTTTGTGGAGTCCTTGGTGCTCTCTGAGCTTGGTTGTTTGTTTGCAGATGTTTCATTACCCAACTAGGTACACTGATGATGTTACCTAATTGGGTAATGAAACGTCTGCAAGCAAACAACCAAGCTCAGAGAGCACCAAGGACTCCACAGTTCAACCTTGAGCTACATATCTTCTCTTCTATTAATAGAAGAGAAGATATGTAGCTCAAGGTTGAACTGTGGAGTCCTTGGTGCTCTCTGAGCTTGGTTGTTTGTTTGCAGATGTTTCATTACCCAACTAGGTACACTGATGATGTTACCTAATTGGGTAATGAAACGTCTGCAAGCAAACAACCAAGCTCAGAGAGCACCAAGGACTCCACAGTTCAACCTTGAGCTACATATCTTCTCTTCTATTAATAGAAGAATTTTCCATATCACTGCTACTTCTCTAGAAACTCTTCCAAAGCAAGGTATTTTCTCCTCTCCACTGCTATAGTTATGTCTTGTTACTTTTCAACTACAGGTAGTCCCTGGGCTATGAATGCCCAGTTTAAGGACAACCCATAGTTAAGAACAGAGTCTACTATAGCAAAATTCGAGTTAAATACACAATTCAAGTTAAATACACAATACTACTTATACAGTATTATACAATAATATTGTTTCAGCTTACATATAAATTCACCTTAAGGACAGACCTTGGAAATGGAACTCGTTCTTAAACTGGGACTACCTATAGTCTTCTCCAATCTGTGCTCACAAAGTATTTGAATTACAACCTGCTATGATGCTCAACCACTATGACCACATCAGGAAAGTATCATGTTGGAAAAACCTGTGTTAGATCTATGAACTGGTATTATCTTTTCTCATTCACTTACTGGTTTAGTTATGTAATTCTTTACAATACTTCCATATTTTTTTTTTTACTAGAAATGTGCTTTGAAGTGTGTAGAAGCACAAATGTAGCACAAGTCTGCAGCTTCTTAAAACAACTGTGTCATTTCCCAGGATCATGGGACAACAGCAGAAGGCAGCCCTCCAATCCCAAGGACACTGATATTTTAAAGAGCTGCAAACTGACACTACATTCATGCTCCAAACTATCTTTCCCAATTATTTTCGAAGCACTGTACAGCCCTGATTTTTTATTTTAAATATATACCATATCATCAAAAAATGCTGTTCAATATACCTCCACCACCCATCTATTCCCATGTATCCAAAGTATGAAGAACATCCAGACTTTTCACCAACTCAACTTAAAGACAACACTTGATCATCATGAAGTTGTCAGTTACTCACTTTAAGAAATCAGCATTATTTGCAAATAAATTTAACAAAAATATATATCTGCCATGGTACATTATTGACATAATCTGTGGCTTACAAATAATAGACCCATTGTTTTCAAAGCTTTGTAAATTTGTCCAGGTTGTAAATTAAGCAGCAAGAAGCCATCACCTGGCCAGCAACTATTTGCTATCTGAGGCTAGTACAGGAATGCCCTACCTCCTCTAGTCACTCCATTATCTTTCTGGCATGGACTGCAGTAGAGGCCAGATATCTGGCTTCCTTAGAAGCACCTGTCCACATAATACCTGATTGGCACTTTCCAGAACACTTGTCAGATTCTACATGAGCTTTTTTTTTTTTTTTTTTGGAAAAGCAGGTCTACTGGTAGCTTGCATGTTGGGAAGGGGGGGGGGCAGAAAGAACCTACCAGAAACTGACTAGAGCAGGGGTTCCTAAACTTTTTGCCATCACACCTCATTTTAGTGTAATCTTATACACATCTCTCCTAAAAATCCAAACACCAAAATGAACACAAATGAACAATGAAAACAATACAATGAAACTTTGGGAAAAGTGGATTTACTGTAAAAATGTAACTAAAAGGTTCTTCACACCTCTCCTGGACTCTATCTGCACCTTCCCAAGGGAGGTGCACTTCACAGTCTGGGAAACCCTGGACTACAGACAGACAAACAAAACCGTTCAGGTTTTGAAAACAGAAAAAGCCACCGGAGCGTCTCTGGCTAGGATCCACTGATCTGATCTAAATTCAGTATCTTCTCTTATGCTACTCCAAACCACAGTTAACCACATTATACTAGACAGATCAATTGCCTAACTTGCTCTAAGGAGGGGTTAATGTTCAATCTACAACTCCACAGTACTAGCAGGCATTTGCAATCCCATTCCTCAGCAACGCCCACCTGTATTTTCAGGAGGCTCTCTTCCAAAGGATCGCAGGAGAGGTTGAAAGCCAAACTGGCAGGAATCAACGCATTCTCATTCAGAAACACGTCCGCAATAGTGGCTCGGTGGTGCCTGTCCTCGATTTCTCTGGGCGCGAAATACCACCGGGGCCTGAGAACTTGCACAGACGCCAAGTGGCGGGCTGCGCTCCACTGGAAGCCTCCCTCGCGCCTCCGCAGCACTACCCACTCCCCTTGGAAGAGACCCAGGCTGTGCAAGCAGCCAGGGGTCACCCAGAGAGACTGACCTCCCCCGGTGTCTCCTCCCCCCAGCCCAGCGCGGG